GGCGGGGGTTACAGTGATCCTAGATTGTGCCACTGCACTCCAGCCTGGGCGACAGCTATCTCAAAAACTAAAATAAAAAATTATTTCAATGTGTATATGCTCAGGATGGATTACACTTGAAAGAATGAAAATTGTGGTTTTTAATTGAATACTTCCTGAAAGCATTTTGAAAAACCATGCACCCTCTTGCACATTCTTAAAATGATATTTAATATTGCTGGGCACAAGTTTATATCATTGCAAAGGATATAATTTCCAGTGAATTTTAAATGTTGACATTTTAAAATAGAGCTGTTAGAACAATATTTTAACTGTATCCAGTGGAAACTGAATATCATTATGATTTGTCAACACCAATTTACAAATACTTAAACAAGTTATTATTTTATAGGTAGAATTTTTATATCTTTTCTTCTTAAACATGTACTTCCATTCTACTTTCCCCTCAAAATTGATCCTAAGGTTATATATATACACATATGTCTTTCATAGATTGCTCTTTTGTACTTCTAGGCAACAAAAATATTTATATAAATTAAATTTTAAAAATTTAAAAATGTATATACATTATAACTATTAGTTGTATAAAATCACCTAAAACAACATAAAATTTCTTACAAATTTTAAAAATTATTAGACATATAGGATTTTTTAGAACAGTGTACCAAAATGAGAGGGTTTTTTAAGTATAGTTTATATATTCATGCATAAATATTGATGATTATTATAACAACACAGAGTTTATTACAGATTCTACTCCTGTTTTTCATTTTACAGATGAAAGCCTTGAGAAAACTTGTTCACGTAGATGAGTTAATGAGAACGGAAGAAGCTTTTTTTGCCTGTAATGTTTTATTTTAAAAAAACAATGCTTCATACATCTCTGAACTTCTTCCAGATTTGTATCCCCCAAACTGATAGCAGGTCTTAACTGACATGTTAACTAGGTTTCCCTTATTTTTCTTGAAGGTAGAATTAGAAACCACCTGTCTTCCAAAAGGATTGGTTAACCAGTCCTTAGAGTCATTCATTTTCTCATCAACACTTGTACTTTGAATTGTCTTGTGTGTGTGTGTGTGTGTGTGTGTGTGTGTGTGTGTGTGTGTGTCCTAATGATTTTTGGAATCCAGGGCAATGCACCATAGTAAGATTCAGGTGGGTTCAAGGCATGCCCTTCCTCTGTGGAGCACCAAAGGGGAAACTGGGATGGGGGATCTGTAGTTATGTTCTTGAGATGATTTTAGGAAGGGATGCATATGGAAGCTGAAGCTCAGGAAATAGACTGTCTTCAACCTATCCATGCCTGCACACCATTGGAAAGGCTTTGTAGACCAGGGTACAGACCACACAATTGAAGACTGCTTAATCTTAAGACAATAAAAAGTCCCATAAATTTCCAAACTGCCTCTAGAGAGTAGTGCTGTTCCCTGGATCCTGATCAGTCTGCTGTTTTCACTCCCCATCTCATCTTTCCTACTCTCACTGGGCTTCATCACAAGCAGATACCTGGTGTTCTTCCAAGGACCAAGCATGCTCCTGGCTCAGGGCCTTAACACTGGCTCTTCCTGTGCCCAGAGATGCTTCCCTCAGATACGGGCAAGATTCTGGCCCTCACTTCGTTCCATCTCTGCTTAAACGTCCTCTTATCAGAGAGCCCTTCCTTGATCCACCTTATATAAAACAGCATACCCCCAGCCACCTCTTTCATTTGTTCATTCATTTAACAAACATTTACTGAGCTTCTACTATGTACCAGACACTGTTCTAAGCCCTGAGATACATCAGTGAACAAAACAAATATTTATGTCCTCACAGCACTTAAAATCTAGTAGGAGGGAAATAAAAGCATGAAATATAAAACAAAATTAAATACTACGTTAGAGAGTGCTACTGTGGGAAAAAAAAAAACAAGGTCACCCTAAGGGGAACTGAAATTGCCAGTAGTGTTTGGAGGTGGGGAAGTGGTTAATGTAAATAAGATTGTCAGAGTAGGCCTCATTGAAAAGATGACAGTCTTAGCTTAGGCTGCCACAACAAAATACCACAGAACAGGCGGCTTAAACAACGAACTGTATTTTCTCACAGTTCTGGAAGCTGGAAGTCTAAGGTCAGAGTATCAGCATGATTGGAGTCTGGTGAAGGTCCTCTTCCTGGCCTATAGAAGCTGACTTCTCCCTGTGTCTTCATATGGCAGAAAGAGAGAGAGACAGAGAGAGAGAGAGAAAGAGAGAGAGAGAGGGAGAGAGAGAGATGGAGACAGAGAGAGATTGCACTAGAGAGTGCTAACTCTCTGATGTCTCTCCCTATAATGCCACTAATCTCATCATGAGGTCCCCACCGTTATGACTTCATCTAAATCTAATCATCTCCCCAAAGCCCCTTTTCCAATTTCCATCACACTGGGGATTAGGGCTTCAACATATGAATTTGGGGCAACACAGTTCAGTCCATAGCAATGACAATCGAGCAAACCCTTGAAGCAGCGGAGAGGTGAGCCATCTGAATACTGAGAATAGTTCCAGGCAAAGGAAGCAGCGAATGTACAGGCCCTGAGTCACAACTGTGCCTGTGTGTCTGAGCAGGGAGGAGGCCTACACGGCTGGAGCAGAGTGAGCCAAGGAAAGGGGAGTTAAGAGGTTAGAGGGGTCAGGATTGGGGAGGCAGATCAGAGAGGGCCTTGTAAGCCATATAAGGACTTTGGCTTCTATTCAGAGAGAAATGGGGAGCCACTGGACAAGTCTGCTACTAGAGGAGGGGTGTTGCTGGGTAGGTAGGAGGGAATAGGATCCAGGGAACAAGTGAGGGCTGGCTTTAGGCAGGAGCACAGACAGCCCAGTAAGGAGCAGGAAGGCAGGGCATAGGCACTCAGATCCCCTCAGCATGCACGGTTGCTCTCCATAGCACTCATCACCATCTGTCAAATTAAACATTCATGTGTTTATTTTTTACTGTCTCTTCCCTCACTGGAATGTGAGCTCCATAAAGTTGAGACAGTTATTTCTCTGCTGTTGCCCAAAAGTCTAGAACAGGCCCTGGCACATAAAAGCGATAAATGCATTTTTTTAAAAAATTTGTCTGAATGCCTGGCCAATTGAGAAAGATAGAAAATAAAATTTAAAGTTCTGATCACATCCCATTCTCCACATCTTCAAGACCACGTATCAGAATAAAGAGATTTAACAATCTCCAGTTCATTGTGATACCAGCCGATCCTGAATATGGGTTTATTTTGTTTTCAGATTCAGGCGTGGTGGCGTGGAACAATGATACGGAAAGGATTTGGGAAATTCGGTGAACTACTAAAACCACGAAAGAAAGGAAAGACTTCTCCAAAAGATAAGAAAGGAAAGAAGGATGTAAAAGGAAAACCAGGAAAGGAAAAAAAGAAATAATCCTATAAATTGATAAATTGGGGTACTGGACCTAGATGGATTAAGAAGGCAAAATATCTAGGAATTAGATGCCTACTACATTAAAATTATTCATAAAATTATGTTTATGTGTAAAAATAAATGATTCTTACTTTTACTGAAATATTTATAGATAAAATGACATAACACCTTGGAATTTCTTCTAAATAATATGGGAGGGGGAGGGGAAAGTGAGTAGGAGTACACGTGAAACAAGATTGGCCATACACTGATAACTGTAGAATAAGGTGATGAGTACACAGGAGTTCGTTATACTATTTGCCTACTTTTATTTATTTTTAATTATTTTTTAAGACAGGATCTCACTCTATTGCCCAGGCTGGTGTACAGTGGTGCAATCTTGGGTCACTGCAACCTCCATTTCCCAGGTTCCAGCAATTCTCATGCCTCAGCCTCCTGAGTAGCTAGGACTACAAGCACATGCCACCATGCCTGGCTTTTATATTTCTTTGGTAGAGATGGGGTTTCATCGTGTTGGCCAGGCTGGTCTCAAACTCCTGACATCGAGTGATCTACCCGCCTTGGCCTCCCAAAATGCTGGGATTACAGGCATAAGCCACTGCACCTAGCCAGTCTACTTTTAAACCTTTTATTCTGAAATAACTATAGATTCACAGGAAGTTCCAAAGAAATATTTAGGTAGGTCCATGCACTGCTCAGCCTCCCTCAATGCTGACCTCTTTCATAACTATAGCACAATAACAAAACCAGAAGATTGACATTGCACTCATTTGTGTGTGTGTGTGTGTGTGTGTGTAATCCTATGCAATTTTGTCACATACAGTTTTGTGTAGGCACCATCACAATCAAGACACAGAATTGTTCCATTGCCACAAGTTTCCCTTGTGCTATTCCTCTGTAGCCATACCTACTGCCTACTCCTCTCCCAGTGCCTAACCTGTTCTCCAGATCCATAATTGTGTCATTTTAGGAATGTCACATAAATGGAAACACACAGTATGTAACTGGGATTGGCTTTTTTATTCAGCATAATCCACTTGAAGTATACCCAACTGGGGCATGGATCAGTGGTTTGTTCCTTCCTGTTGCTGAAGGAGTATTCCATAGTCCCAGTTTGTTTAACCTTTCACTCATCGTTTCCAGTTTTTTTGCTATTGTGAACAAAGCTGCTATGAACATTCATGCATAGGTTTTTGCATATGCATAGATACTCACGGAATTCATGGGCATGCTTATGGTATTCATGGTATTCTTTTATACGATGTAACCCAAAATATCCCCTTTACAGCATTCAAAACCTCCTCATCCTGAAAACGTTTTAATTTGGAATAGTGTTGATTTTAAATTTGCATATCTTTCAGGCAGTGATTGCAATACTAATTATTAGTGTAGTAAGAAGAAAGCAAAACATAATTTGACTAGAGCATGTCAGAATAGAAATGTGTAGACAAACCTCTCTGCCATGCAATGACTTTCATTCTCTAGCAAAACAAAATCAAAGATTTCAAAAATTGTTTAGAGCAACACGAAAACTGTCATTAATGAACTAAATTAGTTTTATGAGCCAATTCCATTTCAAAGAAATGCCTGGAGGCAATATGTTAACAATTTTTTAAACAATAAAAAGAAGTTTTAATGTATTTTAACAAGATGTGTTTTTCACGGTGAGTTTTAAATTTTCAAACACTTTTTACTAAGATTTATATGTCGGTGACTATCATTATTGTTCATGGTTTGTATCTGAGATAAAAGGCACCAGAACATAAAATAATAAACCATAGAAGGGTACACTTTCTGATAAAAACCTACATAGACCACATTAAGATACATATAGTGATAGTAATGATACATGAAACTCTTAGACAGCTAGTGCCTTTCACATTAGAATCACACACACACACTCACGCACACCCTTATATTTAGAACATTTAACTTGTAGGAAAAGAAGAGGCACAACATTTCTGGGCAAGAGAAAAGCAGTTGCAGTACCAGAATCTAAACGCTTTTGGCAAGGCTTCTAAACAGTAAATGAACTAATTATATATCCAAAACAAATCCATTGAAAAATGCCGTCTTTGTTTCATGAGACAGAGAATAATGGCATGCTTATATTAGATATTATATACATATATTTACAAAGCTCTTGTAATATAAGTCCCATTAAATGGCCCAGAAGTTGATATTCAGTTCATGACACTGGAATTCGTTCATGTTCTTTTCCTTTGGAGAATGGTTTGTAGCTTATTAGGATGTGGGAAGTCAGCTTACTGAAACCCACCATGGTCAAAGTGAATGCTCCTTTTTTTATCTTGGTCAAAGCATTCTAGTTCTTCCTCCTGTGAAGCTGGGAGTATCCATCTTTTCATTCCTATCTCTGTGATCTGAGGAAGTTTGATCACAGCACATAACAAGTGTCTAAACCATTGTCCACAATCTCGAAAATTTGATGGTCGAAGGCTAATATCCAGCTCGATTAACTCTTTGAGGAACCGCACGTTTTGGCAGAACATGGTCCACCCTGCATCACAGATGCTGTCATTGTAGCTCAGGTCCAGCTTTCGCAGTTTGGCCAGATGACCCATCTGTATGACCGATGCTGGAAAACAAAATCACTCTAAATGCTGACATACAAGAATACTGTCTGCCATGGCTATTCCCATTTCCCATAACACTATCTCCAGGACTAGTAATGACAAGATTAGTAATTAGTAATGATTTGTTATTAGCAGCTTTATTCAGGACATCTGAAATTAGTAACAGATTTCCTCTCTATACATCCCATCTACAGCTTTTTAAATTTCTTTTTCCAAATCTCAATCCAATAATTCTTTTGTCAAGTTCCTGCTCTCTGCTCCACTGGAGTCCCAGCTCTTCCTACAGTCTTTCTCTAATTAAATGTAAAGAGTGATGGCTCATTGACTTTAACTAAGGACCATTTGTAAATAATCGTCTTGCTGCTTATACTGTTTAATTGTTCATTGTTCATTCATTCAGTCATTATTCATCCAGCAGTTATTTAAATGAGCACTTTCCATATGCGGAACATACCTGGATAATTTCCAATTCACCTTAGAGACCCCAATACACATGACAGTTTTCCCTATATGGGTGCTACCTACAATGGCACTTAAAAATGATGACTAATGTACAATCTGAGCTATTTGATCAGAAAATAAATAAGTTAATGATGAAATAAAGACTTCTGTAAGAGGAGGCAGGAGAGATAACCAAGGCAAATGGAATATGCTTCCCTTTTCAACCAAACCCAGGAATGGATTGCAGAGATCAGGTGAGTTGTGTAGAATCTTGGAGATGAAAGGGATCTTGGAAGTCTCCTTATCCAACCTCCTAATAAATAATCAGAGAGAAATCCTTTTCACAGCCTCTCTACTGATGATCACCACAATTCTGCCTGAACCGTTCTTTCAAGTTTGCCTCAGCATTATGGAGCAGCTCCTAGCAGGAGGAAGCCCTCACACAGGGCCCCAATCTATCTTCTGGTGTCTTTCACCCCATGCTCCCATCAGTCAGCTGAAACATTCAGCTCCTTCTTCCTCATGTCAGCCCTGCAGTGTTAGATAACAGCCAGGTCTCCCTCAAACTTTATCCCTCTAGGACTGAACATGCCCTGGTCTTTCAGTCTTTCCTCACACACATGGCTTTCTGATCAAGGAGGATGTTCCAACTCCATCACTTTCACTTGCCGACAGTTTCATTCCACAGTGAATTTGAGAGCTCAGCCACCCGTGCACACAGCAGCTGCACTCTGTCTCTAGGTGTCCATGTCAATGTGTGTCTCTCTTCCTGTCTCGCAAAATTACTCACAATATTCTCAAGACCTAACTAAGTGTTAAAGACAATGTGCATGCTTTTTCTCTTTCATCCTATTTTATTATTTTAGATTTATTACATTTTTAAAAATCTAGGTAGTGGAAACATAGGCCATAGATATACTCTTTATAGTTTACTATGTGAAAAAATAAATGCCATTAATTATTTTTAAAATGTGCATAAGCTAGTGATTAACAAATTTTTAATGTTTCTATTAGAAAAAATATAAAAGTGGCAATTGCTAAAACCACATATAGTAGTACTTGTTTTTTGTTGCTGTTGTTGTTTTCGTTTTTTGAGATAGAGTCTGCTCTTTGTCCAGGCTGGAATGCAATGGCACAATCTCAGCTCACTGCAACCTCCACCTCCAGGTTCAAGCGATCCTCCTGCCTCAGCCTTCCAAGTAGCTGGGATTACAGGCACCTGCCACTATGCCCAGCTAATTTTTTTACTTTTATTAGAGACAGGGTTTCGCCATGTTGGCCAAGCTGGTCTCAAACTCCTGATCTCAGGTGATCCACCCACCTCGTCCTCCCAAAATGCTGGGATTACGGGTGTGAGCCACCACGCCTGACCTGTAATACTTGTTATTGACTAAAAATTCAAAGAAGGAAAATATACCCTGATGAAATGTAAAAGTATAAATTTGACCTGAGAAAAAACTGTCAGTAAAGATTAAAAAAAAATATACGATGGCTGAAGACATGGCAAATAAAATTTGATGCAGACAAAAATAAAAAAGACCTAATTGAGGCCTGGTGTGGTGGCTCATGCCTATAATCCCAGCACTTTGGGAGGCCAAAACGGGCAGATCACGAGGTCAGGAGATCAAGACCATCCTGGCTAACACAGTGAAACCCTGTCTCTACTAAAAATACACACACACACAAAAATTAGCCAGGCATAGTGGTGGGCACCTGTAGTCCCAGCTACTTGGGTGGCTAAGGCAGGAGAACGGCTTGAACCCGGGAGGCGGAGCTTGCAGTGAGCCAAGACTGTGCCACTGCACTCCAGCCTGGGTGACGGAGCGAGACTCCGTCTCAAAAAAAAAAAAAAAAAACCTAATTGAAGAAGCAAATTTTAATCATAAACATTAAATAAAATAACTTAAATATATTTAATGGTGTCTAATTCAGAAAAATAAATAAATGAAAATCAAAAGCTTATTTTTTAGAAGACTCACAACATCAATAAACCCTTGTGATAGTCAGAACTCTAAATAGCCACCTTAAGGTTTCCATTGTGTCCCCAGGACTGAATGTGATAGATTTTGCTCCCAGGATTAGCTTAGGCTATATGGCACACCCGACTTTAAGAAAGGGAGATTATCCATATGGAGTTAACCCGATCAGAGGAGCCCTTTGAAAACAGAGAGAATTTCCTCCTACTGGTGGCAGAAGAGGAAGGAAGACACAGAAGTCAGAGAGATTTAAAGTGTGAGAGGCACGGACAATCCACTCCAGGCTTGCAAATGAGGGGCCATGTATCAAGGAATGTGGCTGGCCTCTAGTAGCTGAGAGCAGGCTCCAGCTGAGAGTTAGCAAGAAAAGAGGACCCTCAGTCCTACAGCTGCAAGGTCCTAGACTCTGACAACAAAAATGAGCTTGAAAGTGGATTTATTCCTAGAGCCTTCAGATGAGAACTCAGCCTGGCTGACACCTTGATTTCAGTGTTGTAATACCCTACACAGAGAACCAACACAAGCTGTGCCAGACTTCTTACCTACAGAACTGTGAGCCGGGTGAGGGATGGGAAATTACTTCCCGCATTATTCATTCGGGTGATGGTTACATCAACACCTCATACTTCACCACTACAATATACCCATGGAAGAAAACTGCACTGGTGCCCCTTACATTTATATAAGCTTTTAAAAAGAACTGTGAACAAATACATGGATATTGTTTTAATCCACAAATTAACATGTTACACAGCAACAGAAAACGAATACCTTTGGTCACACTAGCCAAGAACAAAGAGATAGAAACACAACTTACCAATATCAGGAATGAGACAGGAGGTATCACTATGGGCAGTAAAAGGATAATAAGGAAACAACTTTAATTCCATAAATTCAACAACCTAGATGAAATGGGCCAACTCCTTAAAAGACACTATCAAAACTTAAAGAAGAAATAGACAACTGGAATAGTCCTAGCTCTATTTTTTTTCTATCTCTATTTTAAAAATTGAATTGGTAATTAAAAATATCCCACAAAGAAAATTCCAAGTTTAGATGGCTTCAGTGGTGAATTCTGTGAAACAGTTGAGGAAGAAATAATACCAATTTTACCCAATCTTTCTGGAAAATAAAAGAGGAAGGAACACTTTCCAACTCATTGTATGAGGCTACCTATACCCTCATAACAAAGCCAAAGACATTTTAAGAAAACCAGTAGGCTGTTATCTCTTGTGAACACAGGCACAAATATCCTCAAAAGAATATTAGCAGATAACATCCAATGCTATATAAACAAGATAATACATAATGATCATGACCAGGATGATTTAACATTTAAAAATCACTTAATATTATTAATTATTATTATTAATATTATTATTCATGATATTAATGAACTATAAAGTTTTTTAAATGCTCATCTCAATAGATGCAGAAAAATAATCTGACAAAATTCATTATAAGAACTCTTAGCAAATTAGGATTCCTTAGCCTGATAAAGGGTAGCTACAAAAAAACCTATAGCTAACGTCATACTTAATAGTGAAAAATGGAATGCTTTCCCCCTCAGCTTAGGGGACTAAGACTGGAAGCAAGGCAAGAATGTCTGCTCTCATCTCGTTCAACATCTATTGGAAATCCTAGCCAGCTAAATAACCAAGAAAAAGAAATAAAAGATATGCAGTGGAGATAAAGACATAAAACTGTCTCCAGGCCGGGTGCAGTGGTTTCATGTCTGTAATCCCAGCACTTTGGGAGGCTGAGGCGGGCAGATCACGAGGTCAGGAGATCGATACCATCCTGGCCAACATGGTGAACCCCCGTCTCTACTAAAAATACAAAAACTAGCTGGGGGTGGTGGCGAGTGCCTGTAGTTCCAGTTATTCAGGAAGCTGAGGCAGGAGAATCGCTTGAACTCAAGAGTCAGAAGTTGTGGTGAGCCAAGATGGCGCCACTGTACTTCAGCCTGGCGACAGAATGAGACTCCATTTCAAAAAAAAAAAAAAAAAGCTGTCTGTAATCATAGATAATATGATTGTCTATATAGAAAATACTACAGAATCTACCAAAAATATCCTACAGCTAACAAATGAGTTTAGCAAGGTTGCAGTAAAATGTCATACAAAAATCAATTGTGTATCCATATACTAGCAATAACATTGGGAATCTAAAATTAAACAGTATCTTTTATAAGAGCACAAAAATTAAATACTCAGATACAAATTTAACAAAATATAAAAACTATAAAACACCAGTGAAAGAAATCAAAGAGTACTTAAATACAGAGATAGACTGTGTTCATGGATTGGAATACTCAATATTGTTAAGATGTCATTTCTCCCTGAATTGATCTATAAATTCAGTATAATCCCAATCAAATTTCCCGATGGATTTTTAAAATAGATATTGACAATCTGATGCTAGCTCTATATGGAAATGCCAAGTAACTAGAATAACCAAAACAATTTTGAAAAAGAACAAAGAATACTTATACTACTTCAAGACTTGCTATGAAGTTTCAACAATAAAAACAGCGTGATATTGGTAAAATAAGAGACACAGAGATCAATGGAACAGAATTGAGAGATCAGAAGTAGGCCATCACAAATATGGTCAATTGATTTTTGACAAAAATATAAAGGCAAATCAATGGAGAATGGATAGTCTTTTCAACTAATGGCACTCCAATAATTGGAGAGTGACATGCAGACACATTAATCTCTACCCATACCTCACACCTTGTATAAAAATGAACTCAAAATAGATAATAGGTCAAAATACAAAAGGCAAATACAAAGCTTCAAGAAAAAATATGGAAAAAATTTTTGAGAACTTAGATTTGCAAAACACTCTAAGACGCAATACAAAAAGTTCACCAAATTAACAAATTGATAGATCTTTATTAAAACTGAAAGCTTTGCTCTGCAAAACAAACACTATTAAGAGAATGAAAAAGCCAGTGGGACAGACCCAGAGAAAATAATAGCAAATTATATTTCTGATAAAGGACTTACTTGTATTCAGAAAAATCTAAAAAACTCTCCAAACTCATCAACAAGAAAACAAACAATCCAACTCTTAAAATTAGGCAAGAGATTTAGAACAGACATTTCACCAAAGGAGCTAAGAAATGAAAATACACACATAAAAAGATGTTTGACATCACTGGTCATTAGGGAAATGCAAATTAAAATCACAATGTTTTGTCCCATCTTCTAATTACAATCATTTTTGCTATAACACTTGTTTTGAAAACACAAGTTTATTTCAATGAGACTGAAATGTCAGGAGACAATTTGAGCATAATGCAAATTTCTTGTTTGCATTATGCACGATTTGTCCACAGGAAACACTAGGTGAACATATAAGACTGTCCCCAGCTGAATTGAGCTGCATATAGAAATAAACAGCCTGGGCACGGTGGCTCACGCCTGTAATCCCAGCACTTTGGGAGGTCGAGGCAGGTGGATCACCTGAGGTCAGGAGTTCGAGACCAGCCTGGCTAACATGGTGAAACCCTGTCTCTACCAAAAACAGAAAAATTAGCCAGGCGTGGTGGTAGGCGCCTGTAATCCCAGCTACTCGGGAGCCTGAGGCAGGAGAATCTCTTGAATCTGGCAGGTGGAGGTTGCAGTGAGCCAAGATCATGCCACTGCACTCCAGCCTGGGTGACAGAGTGAAACTCTGTATAAGAAAGAAGAGAGAAAGAAAGAGAGAAAGAAAGAAAAAGAAAGAAAGAAAGAAAGTAAAGAAAGAAAGACAAGAGAGAAAGAACAGAAAAAGAAAGCAAAGGAAAGAAAAGAGCAAGAAAGAAAGAAAGAAAAAGAAAGAAAGACAGAGAGAGAGAGAGAGAAAGAAAGAAAGAAAGGGAGAGAAAGAAAGAAAGAGAAAGAAAATGTAGACATGCACACACCTCATGAAGACAACAACCCTCATCTATCCACACACCCTCTTTCCACCAACTGAAGTGTGGACAGGCCACTTCCACAGACAAACTTCAGGTCTTTCTCAGGGGTAAGTCTAATATTTGCTCATTTCTTTACTATTTAATATGTAAAACTGTATTGCTATTTTTCATAGCTTCTGTTTTTTAAAATATGCCACTGATGAAGTGTTTGAGTGCGGTGCTTCCAACCATAAGTCCTGTGGTTATTACTGAATAATTCTTGCATAACACATGATTTTTAGGCCCATGTGCCATGTCATAGCAAAACTGACTAGTGTATACACTGAAAACACACATACAACTACTTGGAGTGACTGTTCTGACCCTTCATTTGGAGGCGTGCTCATTGCTTTGGAATTCTGGCAGTTGATGGCTGAATAGTGATTAGAGTGTGAGGACAAGGCTAGATGGGAGACAGAGGGAGTACTCTCTGGTTCATTGTTTTATGATGGGAAAGTGGAAACAGAATGAGTTGTTGTTGTCGTTGTTTTTTTGAGAAGGAGTTTCACTCCTGTTGCCCAGACTGGAGTGCAATGATGCAATCTTGGCTCACCGCAACCTCTGCCTCCCAGGTTCAAGCGATTCTCCTGCCTCAGCCTCCCAAGTAGCTGGGATTACAGGCATGCACCACCATGCCCTGCTAATTTTGTATTTTTAGTAGAGATGGGGTTTCTCCATGTTGGTCAGGCTGGTCTTGAACTCCCGACCTCAAGTGATCCACCAGCCTTGGCCTCCCAAAGTCTTGGGATTACAGGCATGAGCCACCACGCCTGGCCCCATAGAATGATTTTAGGGAATATTTGGGTAGCCTCAATCCCACAGTGCAAAAGTTATTCCTTATTCAATTATCTTTCCATCTTTCTAGACTGACGTGGAAAAAGGGTCAGATTGTTACTACAGTATGCCTTTAACCCCTTTCATCTTTTTCTAATAGAGAGGAGTCTCTAATCAAAGCCATCAGCAGTCTAATATCTATGAGAAGTGATACCCGCATTTCAGTTACAGTGATAATCAGCTTCTTGTTTAAATAAAAGCATTTAAATTAAAGAGTCAATTTAAAGTTAAGTATTTTAACTTTAATACTAAGGAAAGGAAGTATTAATTAAGTTAAAGGAAAAGTTAAGTATTAGTGCTGGAACCATGGGGATGGGTGAGATGTAGATGTCTGAAGTGGGAAAACTCACGGACCAGGGAGGTGTGGAACAGCTGTTTGCCTTTCAGGAACCGCCCCACCTATCTAAATCCATATCCTTTTAGGAAACACCCCCCACTGTCATGTGGTTTTAGAATTGCCTTTGTTCATTTTAATTAGAACTCTCGGGAGATATTGGGAAGAAAGTAATCTGCACAGAGGGCTTCACCCCAAGTCTAGTGCCTCCCCCACCTCCCCATCCGGTGCTTTGCAGGAGCGGCACCCTCTGCTCTGTGTGCCAAGACCACTTGGAAACAAGTAGATACACACCCAGGAGAACCACGTCCTCTGTCACCAGGGAACAGCTGCTCAGCCTCAGCACTCGAAGAGACATGGAAAGCTTTAGTGTTTCCAGAAGTAGCTTCAAGTTGCCACCAACACACTTGTTCCAAGAAAGGTTGAATACTTCCAGAGCAGAGAGGTGAACAGAGGTTTCAGCTAAAAGTGGTAACGATAAGAACAGCAGTAATTTAGGTTTCCTTACAGATCATAAGCTTTGGATTTGAGGAAACTGGTCTAGGACAACACATTAATATAACTGGGGTTGAGAAAGTTGTAGAGGCCATTTTCTTCTGCCTTAAATTTATGGCCTCAATTTATGTTGTCTGTTTTTGTTGTTGTTGTTGTTGTTTGTTTTGTTTTGAGACGGAGTCTTGCTCTGTCACCAGGCTGGAGTGCAGTGGCACAATCTTGGCTCACTGCAACCTCCGCCTCCTGGGTTCAAGTGATTCCCCTGCCTCAGCCTCTCAGGCAGCTGGGACTACATGTGTGCACCACCATACTCAGCTAATTATTTTTGTATTTTAACAGAGACAGGGTTTCGCCATGTTGGCCAGGATGGTCTGGATCTCCTGACTCGGGATCCACTAGCCTTGGACTCCCGAAGTGCTGGGATTACAGGCGTGAGCCACCACACCCAGCCTGTTGTCTGTTTTTATTTGGGGAAATATTGGAAACTTTAGCAAAGCAAAACTTGATAAATTGGAATTCACTGTCCAACCGGGGTTTCTTTCCTTCATTTCACATGTAGGAAGGAGAAAGAGGCAAAGTGCTTGGACGGCTAGTCAAGATTTCAGAATGTGTCCTGGTTGGTTGGTACATATTCCACTGCACCGTCACTGCTGAGATTGAGATAGGGTCAAGTCTCCCTAAGAGTCTGAAATACCAAACCCTATTTATGTTTACTTCACTGCAATAAATGCAGGCAAGGAAGGCAACTAATGTATTTTGGAAAGAGCTTTCAAGAAAAGTAAAAGATTTTCTGCTTAATTCTCAATTGCCCCCCAAAGTTAAAATTAACCAGAATATCTTATTCCCAAGTTAATTGTACTTTAAACTATTCTGCCTTCCTTCTAGAGAATAATGTGTTCGAGGGGAAAATATACATTCTTTTATAATATCTAGTAAGAAAATCCCTTATTCATGGTACAGAGATCTACATTAAGGAGAAATGGAACTTTTTCTTCTAAAAGTAATGTAGGGAAATACATATTTGCTTCATTTGCTTAATTCAAATTGAATAGTAGATTTATGTCAGATGATATAATTTAGTGTGATACCTAGTTGATCATGATTCATTGATTGTGCAGCTAGAATTAGAAACAGCTGTGCCTTCTAATGGCTACAGTTCCTTTAAAAAAACATATTTTTCCAGACTGGGCAACATGGTAAAACTCCATCTCTACCAAAAATACAAAAATTAGCCAGGTGTGGTGTCACGTTCCTGTAGACTCAGCTACTGGGGAGGCTGAGATGGCATGATCGCTTAAGCCCAGGAGATCAAGGCTACAGTGAGCCACGATAGTGCCACTGCACTCCAGCCTGGGCAGCAAAGCAAGACTCTCCCAAAGTACTGGGATTACAGGTGTGAGCCACTGCACCTGGCCCAAGTTCACAGTTCTTTACTGGGGGTCAGTCATCTAGGTACCCTCCACCCAGCATATACCAAAATACCATGCTCACAAAAGAAAAGCTCATGTTCAGCATAAACCATGTTGTTTGTGCAAACAGGTTAGGCATAGTAAACCACCCTTATCAGTTAGGAAATGGTACGAACACCCCCAGATTCCAAGTTCTGGGATATCAGCTAAGGATTGGTCTTTCTGGTTGACAGTAGGCCTTTCCAGGGATAGCAGCATCAGGCCTGCTATGTTAACTCTTTTTTGCCCCCATACACGTGGCTGGAGTTGTTGGATTTGTGTGCTTCCTGGATAATGCTAAAAACAGAGTCCTTCTCTCTAACCCTCTCACCAGTGTTTTTTCTTTATCAGTTGGCACTTCCTTAAAAATGAATTGTACTGTCAACCAGACAAGGGGTATTATTAATGAAATAAATGCATTAAATTCATAAAAATGAGTAGCTATTATTATACATTAATAAAAATAAATGCATGTTATTTACCCCCAAATTTGAAGAACACTATATTTAGGGCATTCTTGCCCTCCTTTTCAGCCTGAGTATTTTGTTCAGCCTGAGTATTTTGTTCAGCCTGAGTATTTTGTTCAGCCCGAGTATTTTGCTCAGCCCGAGTATTTTGCTCAGCCCGAGTATTTTGCTCAGCTCCCATAGACTTGGTCCTCACCATGCCCTCCTCCCAGCGCTCCCTCAGCATCATTCATCTCATCGTCCACATCTCTGGATGGGGAAAAGTCCCAGGATAGGTAGCTTTCAGCCCTGCTGTTCTAGGGCCCATGGACCCATCAGAGAGTCTACAGATATGCTTGAAGGGGTGCCTGTGAGCTTCCTCAAACTGATTACAGTTATTCTGTGGGGAAGAGTATGGTACATTTTCTGTCTCCAAAACATCTGGAATTAGACTGCCTTAAATCAAATCCTGGCTCTGGCTCTTATGACCTAGGGTTACCTCATGTACTTAACATCTCTGTGCTTCAGTTTAATTGTCTGCAAAATATAAAATGGAACAACGGCACATGCCTTATACAGTTGTTAAGATTTAAATTGGTGAATGCATGTAAACTTCTTGGAAAGGGGCCTGGCACATAGGATATGCTCCATAAATGTCAGTTGTTAAGTTCTGCCCATTTGGTGACAAGTGCAATGTCAGCAAGTAAGGGGAGGTATTGTGAAACAAAGACACTTGGTAGCACTTCTCCAAATCGATCACCCAGGGAACCAGTAGTTTGTGCACACAGTGCCGCGGTCCCCAACACCACCTCCCTTTACTTGCTGACACTGCACTTGTCATCAAATGGAAACTTTGTCACCAACTTTCAGATTCAGTAGGTTCCTGATGTAGGCTGGGGCACATCCGTGACCTTAAGGCATACACAGATTCCTAAGGGAACATATAAATCCTGTGGGGAGTGATTGCTTGGCAGTTAGCTAGGCTCACACTCTAGTAAATGGCTTACTTTCCTATCAGATCCACAGCAATCCCAACTTATACTGACACCTCCGCAAAATTACAAGTTACCATGGATGTGGTGGTCCCAGGTTGGTTGTACACACATTAAATTTTAAATGCTAAATCTGCACATACCATGGCCAGGCACGGTGGCTCACACCTATAACCCCAGCACTTTGGAAGGCCCAGGAGGGTGGATCACTTGAAGTCAGGAGTTTGAGACCAGGCTGGACAACATGGTGAAACCCTGTCTCTACTAAAAATACAAAAATTAGTCGGGTGTGGTGACGTGCACCTGTCTGTGATCCCAGCTACTCGTGAGGCTGAGGCAGGAGAATCGCTTAAACCTGGGAAGCGGAGGCTGCAGTGAGCCAAGATCACGCCACTGCACTCCAGTCTGGGTGACACTCTGTCTCAAAACACAAACAACAACAACAAAAAAAACCCCTGCACATACTAGAATCATTTTTTTTGGACTTTCAGAAGGTCACTTTTAAGAAGGCATATGTCCTGAAAAGAAGACAAATTAATACTTCACAAATTTGGCTGAACCTTGGAATGAAATGCAGAGAAAAAGAGGTCTCCCTCTCACATTATTGCATGGCTCCTGCAGGGATCTGGGAAATCTCTTACCGAGAGCTGTAAAAGTCTCACTCTCCAAAGCACAGTTGTTAATAACTAACGACTTCAATGCTGGTAAAAATCGGAGCCTGCTGAGTAAGTTTTCAGAAGAATTGCCCATCTTTTTGTTGGCTGATAAATCCAGTTCTTGAAGATTTGAGAGTAAAGGAATGACCTGGGCTGTTAAAAATATCAGCAGTGACATGTTTTAGGCACCATCTCACAGAGTCTTCCAGGTGTTTGGTTCCCACACTCTGTTTAATCTGTCAGTCAATACAGCTCTCCCCAACCCGACCCTCCCTCCCTTACACACCGCAAACCAGCCATCTTCCCAGCATGCTGCTTGGGCTTTCTTGCTTCCAAGCTCCTTTCCAGGCTAGAAGAGCAAAGGCTGTGGAGACAGAGAACTAGATCTTGGATCTGCTACTAAAGAACTGTGTGATTTTGGACAAGTTAATTAACCGCTCTGAACCTTAGCATTCTCAACTCTAGAACTCTTAGTCTTCTCTATTTCGGTGGTCATTGGGAAGGTAAAGTGACTTGGTAAAGATAAAGTACTTGGTATAATGCCTGGCACATACTAACTGCTCAATTAATGTTTGAAATTATAATTCTTTTCTCAGAATGTAAGTACCAGTAAGGCAATGAAAACAGCAATCAGAACAGACACTTGTTGGTAACCACACTGGGTCCTGAGGGGCCCGGCTAGGAATTACCCCCGTTCACTATCTTTTGGCTGCTTTTCCGGCCTTTGCCCCAACTCTTACCAAGGCAGAAAATGCAGTATGCTGGATCTCTACAAGGCTGGCTCACCTCCTCGAAGCCTTCCAGGGTCACCCACACCAAAGTAACCCCTTGGTCACTATCACATCACCATATTTTATTTTCACAGCACCCAGCATTATGTGATATTTTCTTGTTAATATATTTGTTTTCTGTCTTCCCTTACTGAAGGCAAGCTCTGTGTTATAGAAACTATCTCACTCCCAGAATGAGGATCAGTACCTGAAACATCAGAGGTATAACGGTTTGTGGGAGGAGGGAGAGAGGTCGGGGAAAGGGGAAAGGCAGGGAAGGCAGGCAGACACTTGTAAAGTCAACAGGTGTAACTACTTCTCCTTCTTCCAACCCCCTCAGCACTTTATATTTCGCCATGCAGTTTGAATATGTGTTGGTTTACTCCTGCCCCTGCCATACCGAAGTTCCCTGATAGCTGGGATTTTCTGCAGCCCCTGGCACAGTGTCCCACACCATTAGAGGATTCATCAGTAGTTACTGCTTAAAGGAGCTATAATTCCATTTCTTTGGAGCGATTTACAATGATCAGATAAAAGAATGTTCAATTATTTAACGGCATAAAGTATAAAGCAGGATGTATTTTCATTTCCATCTTTTCAAAATTAAGCAGAAGGAGAACAATGCAATTCATTACACTTGTCAAATTATTATTAGTTTTCCAGGGCTATTCACCCATGTCAGTGGCTGTGAACCTAGGTAAGGAAAGCCTAGTCCTCCATTATACCAGTGGGAACAATTGAGGTCCTCCAGCACTGAGTAACAAAATGAGATGTGGTATTCATGTTATTTAGTTGTACCAAGGGAATCTGGCGGGCTGATAACTCATGAAGGTCTTCCTAGGTATGACGCTCAGGCTATGATAAGTAAAGGGAATGGTAAGAACTCATAATGCTCCATGCAAAGCTCAAAAAGGGATTATTTTGTCATTTTTAAATCTTCATGAACGCCTTGAACTCTTCTCATTTTCCCAAATATTGAGAGAAGAGTCTGAGAGATAATTTAGCAGGTTTAAAAAGATAGATGTGTGAGACCTAGAAACCTATCTTACGGTCTTCCTCCCCAAATTGTACTATAAACAACCAAAAACTTACTTGTATTCTCATTGTGCACTCATTCTTCATTCATTCACATATTCAACATGCATTTACTTGGTGCCAATCATGTGCAGGTGCCTGTGCTTGAGCAGTGGGGAGATGCTAAATGAGACACTTCTAGCCTGGACTTGCCCATGACCTGGAAAGAGAGAGCATGGGCAAAGGGCCCAAGGCCAGAGCATGCCTGGCGTGTCTGAGAATCAGCAAGGGCTGTGGCCAGGGTGGAGTCAGTGAGGAGGAGGGGGAGTGAATGAAGTCAGAGCGATAGAGGACAGGGAGACCATTTGGGCTTTTGCAATAATCTAAGCATAAGATAATCGTTGCTTGGACCAGGGTAGTGGAGGTCTAGATGGTGAGCCATGATCAGATTCTGGATGTACACTGAAGGCTTACTGTGGCCACAGACGGGATAAAACCCTTAATCTCAAGGCTATGCTTGCTCTGTTTGTTATGGGAAATTGCATTTATATATTACATGTCGTAATTACAGAACTATGTTTGCAGTAGGAAATAAGTGTAGTTGCCTAAAGCGGTAACGTATAGCCATCACGCGCCACCCCGCTGACTCTTTTTCTGTAACATCATTTGTATCTGAGTGGCTTGACTTCACTTGTTATTCAGAAATCCTCAATACCTTTTGTGTTGGCATTTGGTTACAGGTATGTAACCTGTTTGTAATCAGCTTTGTGACACTAAGAGATTTATTTCTAAACAGCAACATAAATTCAAAATTTTCCCTAAGCGCCAAATCTATCATTTACAGGCATGTATAGGTGGAACTGAGATTCACTAACGTTTACTGGGTGTTTAATACATGCCAAGTACTGTGTTGAGACATTCACAGAATTTTTAGGAATTAATCTTTCCAATAACTTCATAAAAAGTAAATTTACAAGTGTACATATTAAAATTTCCAAGTTTCCAAAGATAGGCCAAGATTCCAAAAAGTCTTTCCTTTGCTCTGTAATATGTACTCACTCAGTGACATCACGTCATCTGCTGTTAGTGAACACTGGTGAAGATCTAGGACTTGCAGATGCTTTAGCATGACCAACTGAGCCGACGAGTCTTCAAAACCTCCACCTAGATCCTTATTGCAGGAAAGATCTAATTTCCTCAGCTCAGCCAAATACCTAAAAGCGGCATCTACAAAGAAAGTCAGAATCCCATTCTGATAGCTGGACACAGTGGTGTACCTATAGTCCCAACTGCTTGGGAGACCAAGGTGGGAGGATTGCTTGAACCCCGGAGTTCGAGTCCAGCCTGGGCAGAATAGTGAGATCCATCTCTTAAAAAAAGAAAACACCGGACCAGGCGTGGTGACTCCCATCTGTAATCCCAGGACTTTGGGAGGCCAAATGGGGTGGATCACGGGGTCAGGAGTTCAAGTCCAGCCTGACCACAATGGTGAAACCCCATCTCTACTACCATTCGGACATATTGCAAGGTGGTAAGAAGGTGTGGAACAGGGGTGGGGCCATGGTGCAGTAAGGGAGGCTGAGGGAGCACACTGTGTTCACAAAAGACAAAAGAAGGAATAAGTGTAAACTTCCTACCATCTGGCCCTCTGTGGACCCGACCATGATTTCACACACACGCTCCCTAAGATCTGCATAGATTGCCGAGGGTTTTGACATGAATCCTGCAACTACACTTGAGCATCCTCTCCTATTACACTTGAACATTGGAGTTTACATAGATTTTTAGACTTATTCAAGCTGCCAGTGAATATTACAGGTTCTGTAAGTTCAATGTCATTTCCTATTCTCCATAAATATGGATACTATGTACAGGGGAATAAGTTTTAACTCCAGACGCCATCGAAGCCATTCTTTTTATCAATACCAATTCCTTCCTACTATGGAGCATAAAATAATGCTGACACTTTCATAACAGAAAACCTAGTAGTTCTAGCAGCAAAGAAACTTTATTTTTCCCAGTGTTTATCTCAACCTAAAATATACTGGCCTTTTCAGAGTCAGTCATATTAAAGGCTCATTTTTATAATCATGAAAGTGTATGTTCTCTGTCAAATATTTAGAAAATAAATAAAATATAAAAAAGATTTTTTTTGAGATAGAGTCTCTTCTGTCATCCCTATCAGCTCACTGCAACCTCACTTCCTGAATTAAAGCGATTTCTGCTGCCTCAGTCTCCCAAGTAGCTGGGATTACAGGCACACGTGTCACCACGCCCAACTAATTTTTGTATTTTTAGTAGAGATGGGGTTTCATCATGTTGGCCAGGCTGGTTTCAAACTCCTGATCTCAAGTGATCCGCCTGCTTGGGCCTCCCAAAGTGCTGGGATTACAGGTGTGAGCCACTGCGCCCAGCCTAAAGGAGATTTCAATTACCCATAATCTTATTCCCCAGCGCAACCACTATTTATATTTTGCTATATTTCCTAGTAACTTTTCAATATATATATTTATATGTATATCATATATATTTATACTTGCAATCTTAAATCCAGCCATTGTTAACTCACCCAATATTTTGACACTCTTTTGTGATAATCCACATGAATGTAACTTCAGTACTTTCAGATTTGACGTGCTTTTTAATCCCTGAGCAATACTGTTCAGACTGCCACCAATGTCTCTGTTAATGGAAAGATCAAGTACTTCAAGACTTTGCAGCATAGGTAGCAGTTGACCTAGAAAAGAAATCCAAGTAAGAAGGGTATGTAGGAGGGGAGTGGAGTTTTATGTCACCTGGGGATATAGTGACGTAAAACTCCACTCCCCTCCTACATACCCTTCTTTAAATTCAGGATAAGACAAAACACAGCAAACATAGATTCCCAAGCTATCCAATGAGCATCTTCGATTTTTTTTCTCTTCAAATTCCACTTACCCAGAAATGTCCCATCTTCCGACGTGAGGGTGCAATCCACAAGCTTAAGCATTTGTATCTTGCTCCCTTTTTGGAACTTCTGAAGGATCAGAGGCAAATTTCCTCCCACTTTACTGTTCCAAGACAAATTTAGCTCTTCAAGTTCAGGAATCATCTCAAGTGCTTCTCCTGTTAGCAAATGGCCCAAAAATTCTGTTAGTCACTAGTCAGTAAAGAAGGGAATTCGTTTCAGAATCAGCACAACTATGATTAATGGAGTGTGGAAACTGGGCCAGGTACTGTCCTGTTTGGCACAGAGGAACAGAGAGAAGGAAAGAACCCAGTTCCTTCATAGCAGGGCGTGCTTCTCTAGATTTACACGTACAGTCTAGTCCCTCCAAAATTCTGAAGTCATGCGTATGAGCTAAACAATTGTTGTAGAAAAATCCACCTATTGGTAGGGTGGTTTTAGGAAGCTGCTTTTGTGGTGGTTCATCTGCTTTCCCTTAGCCCCCCTCTCTGGCATCAGCATTTCTGAGAAGTTTGACCAGGGATAGAAGGGAGGCAAAGCAGATAACTGGCCACCACAGAGGTAAAGCTCTCTCCAACGTCAAGAATATCACATGCCTGTATATATAGTAAAGCTCTCTCCAAAGTCAAGAATATCACATGCCCATATATATACACACACACATATATACACATATATATACACATATATATATATATATGAGGAATATCACATGCAACCTGAACTATCCACTACAGAGAGAAACTAATAATAGAGCATCAGGCACTAGCATCTTATAACAGCCATGCTGCCTTAAGGGGTAAACAAGGGTGTAGTGAAACAGGGATGAAAACTAACATTTCTGAAACCATTACACACAGGAAAGCTCCCACGGCTGCAGAGTGGAGGCTGGGAGAGAATAAGAGAAGTGACCAGACAGATCAGCCCTTAGGAATGATTTTCACCACCTTGGGGGTAGACACATACATGGAAAATGTACTTTCTCAATGTGCAAATAATTAAGCATTCTGGCAAGTCCCCTGTATCTAGAAGCCTCTTTACTACCCGCCCCTGGGTTTGAACTTCTACCATTGTTTGTTCATTCCATGGATTAAGGTTTTAGAAGTCCAGGAACCCCATGCTAAAATGCATATTCTCCAGCAGTTATAGCATCTTAAGCCAGCAATGAACAGGTATCATTTTGTGTGCACTTGCCAGTCAATTGGGGGTGGCTTTCTATAGTTCTGAGGTGTTCCCCAGGATCAGGGAGAAAGAGCTCATGATTGATTAGTTATGTCTGCAGTGGTCATGGTACTGGAGTGCCATGCATTTGCCACCTGGTACTAAACTATTATAATGGGTGTAACAATTTTGAAATGCCTTCTGATTTATGTTCTCTTATCAAGAAACCACTTATTTTCCCTATACCCCATCTACATTAAGACTGAGTGAAGAAGACAGAGTATGGATGATAGATAGGTAAGCCCCTCCTGATGGGAGAGGATGCAGAAGTCCTTCCAGAGAAGAAATAACTCTGGGAGAGGGAAAAGGGCACAAACATCAGAACAACAACAGTACAGATTCCCTCCTCAACCAGGTAAGTTTGGAACAGGTCCCAGGCAGAAATTTCATTTTCTTGTTTTCTAAGGATGGAGGATCAGGAAAAAGATCAGGTTAATCATAGAAAATAAGAAAGTTGCCTTTTCACACGTGAGTAATTGTATGTTAAAATTGTGAGTCTGCTACACAATAACCAGCTGCTTAAAGCTGATCATGTAACCCAAAGAAAGGTGGTCTTAGATGACAGAATGGAGAAAGAAGGACTATCAGTTATTGAGCACCTATTGTGCACCAGGCATGCAGTAGGTACTTTAAAGAAATTGTTTAATCCTTGCAACAATTTTTTGAGAGGGAAGTTATCCCTATTTCAGATATAAGAAAACTGAGGCTCAGAAAAGTTAAATTATTTGTCCATGTTCACAAAGCTAGTTAAAAGTGGCAGTAGGGGCCGGGTGTGGTGGTTCATGCCTGTAATCTTAGCACTTTGGGAGGCCAAGGCGGGCAGATCACTTGAAGTCAGGAGTTCAAAACCAGCCTGGCCAGAATGGTGAAACCCTGTCTCTACTAAAAATACAAAAAAATTAGCTGGGCATGGTGGTGCACGCCTGTAATCCCAGCTACTTTGGAGGCTGAGGTAGGAGAATCACTTGAACCGGGGAGGCGGAGGTTTCAGTGAGCCAAGATTGTACCACTGCACTCCAGCCTGGGTGACAGAATGAAACGCCATCTCAAAAAAAAAAGGGGGGGGGGCCGGGGGATAGACACTAAGATTTGAAGTAGAATCTACTAAAAATACAAAAAATACAAAATAATTACAAAAATTAGCCAGTCATAGTGGTGCATGCCTAAAATACAAAAAAATACAAAAAATTAGCCTGGCATGGTGGTGCACTCTTGTAATTCCAGCTATTGGGAGGCTGAGGTAGGAGAATCACTTGAACCAGGGAGGCAGAGGTTTCAGTGAGCCAAGATTGCACCACTACACTCCAGCCTGGGTGACAAGAATGAAAAGCCGTCTCAAAACAAAAAGGCCAGGGGGGCGGGGTCAGCACTAGGATTTGAAGTAGGATCTGGCCAACCTGAGATGTGTAATGTTTCTCCTCAGCTACAGGAGGCATGGGCCAGGGGGTGTCAGCTGCCCCCATTTCCAGGGAGGGACTGACAAGCGGAGATATTTGGCATAAAATGTGTTGTTTTTACAGAAATCTTTAAATAGATGTAAAGGATTAAAATAAGTCATGAAAACAAGAAACTTTACAACAAAAGAAGATTAAAAAGTATCAAAGACATGTAATAAACCAGCAAGCATTTTGGTACAGCAGTTGGATAAGTAGAATGACATTGTACAGATTTAATTGTATGCTCCGTATATAAACTAACTTAATGGAGGTTCTAGTTCTAGTTAAACTATTAACTTAAAAATCTTGTTTTGTTTAATTTTTCAAAATGTGGGTGGGAAAATAGAAGAGAGAAGTATTCTTTTGGAATTGTAAAAGAACTTAATTATTGTCTACTCTAACTCCTCTATTTTATACATGAAGTAACGGAGACCCAGTGTGAGCATGTTTTACAGTAACCTCCATTTAAACTACATGAGGCCGGACACGGTGGCTCACGCCTATCATCTCAGCACTTCGGGAGGCTGAGGCGGGTGGATTCCCTGAGGTCAGGCGTTCGAGATCAGCCTGGCCTACACGGTGAAACCCCATCTCTACTAAAAATACAAAAATTAACCGGATATGGTGGTGCACACCTGTAATCCCAGCTACTTGGAAGGCTGAGGCAGGAGAACTGCTTGAACCTGGGAGGCAGAGGTTGCAGTGAGCGGAGATTGCACCACTGCACTCCAGCCTGGGCAACAGAGTGAGCCTCCATCTCAAAAAAATAAAAATAAAAATAAAAAAATAAATAAATAAACTACATGAAAGCAGGGACCTGGTCAGCCTTGTTCTTTTCTCTATCCACAGAGCTAAGCACAGACCTAGACATGGTTTACATGACTTTTTAGCAGTTATACAAGTGCCCAATACAGCATAGTGCCCTTGACCATGATCCCCAATGGAGCAGGCAACAGAGATAGTTTGCCCTTGAGGATTCAGCTTGCAAAGGTGCATTGAGTGAACCCATCTTCTTCTTCTTTTTCTTTTTTTTTTTTTTTTTGGAGATGGAGTCTTGCTCTGTCATCTAGGCTGGTGTGCAGTGGCATGATCTCGGCTCACTGCAACTTCTGCCTCCTGGGTTCAAGCAATCCTCCTGCCTCAGCTTCCCGAGTAGCTGGGATTACAGGCACCCACCACCACACCTGGCTAAGTTTTTGTATTTTAGTAGAGACGGGGTTTCACCATGTTGCCCAGGCTGGTCTCGAACTCCTGAGCTCAGGCAATCCGTCGACCTCAGCCTCCCAAAGTGTTAGGATTACAGGCGTGAGCCACGACGCCTGGCCGAATCAATTTTTTAAGAAACGCATTCATCATACCCAGTGCTTGAACGTCGTCAGTGGTGAGTCTGCAGCTACCCAGCCTCAAGATTTTTAACTTGCTGACCAGATGCATTTGCTGAGTGATAGAATGGAGGGTTCCACCTACGAAATCATTCCAGGAGATATCCAGTTCTTCCAAGTCTGGGAGAAAAGGCAGCAAGGCAACTAGAAGTAAACAGAAGAAAATACAGATATGTGTATGTGCCTTGGGATTTGTAGTAAATAAAATGCAGTGCCTACACACACAAGACATAGTTTTACATGGTAAGAGAATAGACAGGGGTGGGCGTGCTGACTTTTGGCAAAGAGCCCTCAGCTCTACAATTGGAGAAATTGTGATGTTTACATTTTCTATTTCTTAGGATGTTTTTTATTTCTGCCAAATAACTGCAGTCTGAAAATGCAGGGGTGTGTCTGTAAGATTTCATACAGCCTCTTTTCCTAAACTCAGCTGAAGTCTTCAAAACCTAAGGAAGGATCAATTAACTTGCTTTGCTTTTTTTTTTTTTTTTTTGTGAGGAGTCTCAATCTGTTGTCAGGCTGGAGTGCAGTGGTGCGATCCTGCCTCACTGCAACCTCTGCCTCCCGGGTTCAAGCAGTTCTCTGCCTCAGCCTCCCGAGTAGCTGGGATTATAGGCATCCGCCACCACGCCTGGCTAATTTTTGTATTTTTAGTAGAGATGGGGTTTCATCATCTTGGCCAGGCTGGTCTTGAACTCCTAACCCTGTGATTCACCCACCTCGGCCTCCCAAAGTGCTGGGATTACAGGAGTGAGCCACCACGCCTGGCCTTTATCTTTTAAAAAAATAAATAAATAAAAATAGCGGTGCTATTTCTGCAATTGTCTGGGACCACTGAGCAGACTTGGGGCTACTAGGTGGGTAGCTGAGTATGTTTTATCTGTTCATCTCAATGGAAAGGCCCTATCTTCCTCTATGCAAAGTCCACTGCATACAGACCCATGTCTTTCATGTCTGCTGTTGTTAATCCACAGTTATTCAAATCTAGACACTTGTTGACAGCCTTTTTGCCCAGCTTCTGCAGGAACTGCTCGTATTTCTCCATACTGGATCTCAATTCCATTTCTGAACTGAGAGGCTTAGCTGTGTGATAAGCATATAAAAGAATTTGCTGTTAATGATGGATGTATTAAAGATGCATAGTGAGCACAATCGGATAAATGAAAAGACTGCATAACTCTGAATTGCTCTTTTATAAAAACCTCAACTCAGAGGCAGAGCCATTTACTAGGGACAAAGCTCAACTAACCACTGTTCCTGCCGCCAGGCGCTCAGACACTGCTTCAGGAGCCGGAGGAACTCAGTGGCTTTTCTATCATGACCTGACCTGGGCTTCTCAGCATGAAGACAGAGCTGCATTCCTGGGTGAGAAGTAAACCTGTCAGCCTGTCAGCCCAGCTTTTGAGATGCTTGCTTACTTGAAGGGCACACATATCTTTGGTGAATGCAACTACTAGGGAGGAAGCAGAGATACTTGCCTCCTCAAACCAAGCAGGTGAAGAAGGGAAAGCATTGAAATCACCATCAAGGAGCTTCAAATGGCTACATGGGGTGAGTGGAATTCTTGCCGGTCATTCCTAGACCATTCAATTGGCAAACATATATCCAGAGAAACTAGGCCTGGGAGAGCTTTTGCTTTTTCTCAACTCCTGCCAGAAAGTGCATTTGGAAAGCCTCATTTGTCCTTCTTGTTACTAGGGACTACTGTGGCACCCTCACCAGCTTCCTCTGTAATAACACTATAATAACATGATAGTGGCTGGGCGTGGTGCCTCATGCCTGTAATCCTAGCACTTTGGGAGGCTGAGGCGGGTGGATCACGAGGTCAGGAGATTGACACCATCCTGGCCAACATGGTGAAACGCTGTCTCTACTAAAATGCAAAAAATTAGCCAGGCGTGGTGGTGCATGCCTGTAGTCCCAGCTACTCAGGAGGCTGAGGCAGGGGAATCTCTTGAACCCAGCAGGCAGAGATTGCAGTAAGCTGAGATTATGCCACTGTACTCCAGCCTGGTGACACAGTGAGACTGTGTCTCAAAAAAGAAAAAAGAAAAAAGAAAAAAGATAGCACTATAATAATAAAAGCTATCATTTTTTTTGAGCACCTGTTATGTACTCGTTCTTCGCCTACTTGCAGGTGCCAGCTTTTCTTTTTTTTGTGGGGGGGTGGGATGGAGTCTCACTCTGTCGCCCAGGTTAGAGTGCAGTGGCATGGTCTCAGCTCACTGCAACCTCCACCTCCCAGGTTCAAGCAATTCTCCTGTCTCCGCCCCCTGAGTAGCTGGGATTACCGGCCACCACGCCCGGCTAATTTTTGTATTTTTAGTAGAGACGAGGGTTCGCCATTTTGGCCAGGCTGGTCTTGAACTCCTGACCTCAGGTGATCCACCCACCCGGCCTCCCAAAGTGCTGGGATTACACGTGTGAGTCACCATGGCCTGCCAGGTGCCAGCATTCAAGACATACATAAAATACATCATACTTTTGTAAGGAAAAGTGAATAGACGTGTACTGACAGTGATTTTAAAGTGGTTTTATAAGTGAAATATACTATTGTAAACATATAGATTATGTATACTGAAATCCAGTAGGAAATAATAAGTTCTGGAATGTGCAGTAATATTAACCCTGACAAAAAGGTGTAAGACAACATAGCTAAGAAGAAATACATTGATACCAGTGAAAAGTAAAAGATAGTAGGATTGCGGTGGTAATAAATTTAGACCAAATGATTAGCAGGATAATAAAAACTACATCTCTAATCCACAGCAGTCTTGTGGCTTCCTGTTTGGTCTAAGAAAACCACATGCAGGATACACATCCTTGTTGGGATGATTGGTGTTACCACATTTCACCAGTAGGAGGCAGCAGCATCCACCATGTAACCTTTCACTCTCACCTTCCATTTTTATGGCACATTGGATACAAGGTATTTAATTTTGGGTAGAGTTGCCAGATTTAGGAAAAACAACAACGGCATGCCCAGTTAAATTTAAATTCCAAATCAACAAGGAATCATTTTATAATATGTCTCAACTATTGCATGTATTTTCTCTGGCAACCCTAATTTTGGGTAGGGCAGAGCAGAGTTGTGGATAGGAGACAGGGAGGGACAGCCTCTTAGGTGCCAGAAAGTACAGTACATTTTGTCTAAAGGAGTCACAATCCATTTCATAGATTTAGAAACTTAGAGAAATGATTAACTAGGAAGAAGCAGAGCCTGAATTTGAACCCGGAGTAGTTTGTTCCAAAGCCTATGGTGTGTGTGTGTTTTATTTTTGTATTTAAAAAATTTTTTCTGTGTTGCACCTTATTGCTGTTTCTCTTTTGTTTTTAAACTTTTTATCTCAACCTACAATCACGCCCAAGTTCCAGCCCCACCAAACCCACTCTTTTCTTTTCTCCTCAAGACACTGCTCTGTCAAGCATTTCCTTTACTGTCAAATGTTTGGAAAGAGTGGTTTGCACTTGCCGGCCCAACTCCTTCCCCACATTTGCAAGCTAACCCTCTACCTTCTGGTTGCTACACTCCTCTGTCCAAATCAATTGTTTCTCAAAGGTCACCAGCAATAACCTAGAAACTGACAGATACAGAAATCTCTTCTCAGTTCACATCCCACTGGGTGCTCTGTCATGTTTGATGTGACTGACAAGTAAGCAGTCGGAAGACCTGGTCCAAATCACGGGTCTGTTCGAGGAACAAGTCACTTAATCTTTCTGAGCCTTGGTTTACTCATCTATGAAATGCCTGGTTCCTTTCTCAAAAGCATCGTGATTTAAACTTACTGGAACCTTCCAGGGACATGGTAATCTGCAGGGCCTTTACCTGAGAGGTACTTGGTAAATATTTGTTGAAAGAGCAAACAATTGAATGAATGAATATTGGTTTTACAGTTGCTCAATTACCAAAATAAATCATCATGATAAATCTTTATCAAAACACTTAAATATAAAAGTGAGTACTAACTTATGAGATCCCTGGACATCTCCTCACAGATCATGATTTCAATTTTTAAAAAATCTGTGAAACCGGCCGGGCACTGTGGCTCATGCCCGTAATCCCAGCACTTTGGAAAGCTGAGACGGGTGGATCACCTGAGGTCAGGAGTTCGAAACCAGCCTGGCCAACATGGCAAAACACCATCTCTATTAAAAACACAAAAAATTGCCAGGCATACTGGCGTGCACCTGTAATCCCAGCTACTTGGGAGGCTGAGGCAGGAGAATCGCTTGATTCCCAAGCAGCTTGGGTGGTCAGTATTGCATAGCAGGGATGACCCTGGCTTGGTTTTGCACTGTTAATTTAATCACGATTACATTTATTCATTAACCTCATTCCTGATGCTCTAAATCACACTCTAGAACAAAAATGAACAATTTTCTGATAGAGATGGTCTTCTTTTAAAGACAGACTTTAATTTCCTATATATAAAAACGTACTTAAAATACATTTAATCTACTTGCAGAGGTTGCAGTAAGCCGAGATCATCCCACTGTACTCCAGCCTGGGCAACAGAGCAAGACTCTATCTCAAAAAAAAAAACAAAAAAACCTATGAAACCAAATCAGCCAGGCATAGTGGCAGGAGCCTGGAGTCCCAGCTAGTAGGGAGGCTAAGGCACAAGAATCTCTTGAACCCGGGAGGCGGACATTGCAGTCAGCTGAGACTGCGCCACTGTACTCCAGCCTGGGTGACAGAGTAAGGCTCTGTCTCAAAAAAGAAAAAGAAAAAGAAAAAAAGTATGAAACCTTCTCTTCACAGGATACCTTATGTCACAGATCACTGTGTAGAACAGGTGAGTCAGGGCTGCTGCAGCCAGGCTGGAGTGGGGTGGGTGGCACCCATGGGGGGCGCATTAGTAACCACACAGGAGCGGCTCTGTGGAGATTGAGGCCTTTTCCTAGCTGTGTTAGCTCCAAACGAAGCTCTTGGTCCTTAGTGCTCTCACTAAGTTCCTTTCCGACTGAAATCTGTCAAGGTTTGTCAACCAAAACACTCGACATTCATAAGACGTTATTACACATTGCTAACATGGGTGGTACTGTACCAGGAACCAAGATAACAAGTTCCTGTTTTCAAAAAGCTGCCTGTTTCATGAGAGAGATGGCAAGAAAGCCACCGTTACCATATAGATGAGAAGCAGAGGCACGCAGGGGTGTGTGGTTGCACACTTCACTGACAATAAGTACCCCAAGTCTGGGGATTCCAGGTCGAGGAGGTGGATCTTGGGAAGTTTCCAAGAGAAACTGGTACCTGGATTGCACCTTAAAGGAAGAGTGGGAGTCATCCAGGTGGGTGGACATGAGAGAGGGATATGTCAGGGAGGGGTGCAGGGGAGGATGGTAACACGAGGAAACATCTTTCTAGCCACAAAGAACCACTTGCTGGGGAGGAGAAGAATGTGGCCAGTCCAGAGAATTATAAGTAAATCAGAGTGCCACACGCAGAGGATGAGGGCGGCGCTGTGGTGGGAGGTGGGAGAAGGCAAAGGTCATGAAGGGATATCCAATATCCAACTGATCACCAATACCTTGAAGGCCATGCTTGGGAATATAGATGAGAGAAACTCAGTGAAGGATTTTAAGCAGGCGAGAGACACCACCATATCTGTGGTTTAGAAAGAGCACTGTGGCAGTGTGGAGGACAAATTGGTAAGAGAGCAAGACTAGAAGCAGAAAAACCAGTTAGGAAGCTATTGCTGTGGTCCAGACAAGAGACAATGAGAGCTAGGCAGCAGCAATGGGCAGGAAGAACCAGGTGTGAGAGCTATTTGGGGACAGAATTAACATGACTCCAGGAGCCATTGAATTTTGGGAGAAATAGAAATGAAGAACCAAGCAGCTTGGGTGGTCAGTGTTGCATAGCAGGGATGACCCTGGCTTGGTTTTGCACTGTTAATTTAATCACGATTACATTTATTCATTAACCTCATTCCTGATGCTCTAAATCACACTCTAGAACAAAAATGAACAATTTTCTGATAGAGATGGTCTTCTTTTAAAGACAGACTTTAATTTCCTATATATAAAAACATACTTAAAATACATTTAATCTACTTGCTGCTAAAACTGTATTATTTTTGGCATTTGATGGCAAATAATCCGATGGAAGGGAGGGTAGGTATAAATGATATAAAATTGGCTAGGCACGGTGGCTCCTGGCCAGGCCTGTAATCCCAGTACTTTGGGAGGCCGAGGCAGGCAGACCACCTGAGGTCAGGAGTTTGAGATCAGCCTGGCCCACAAGGTGAAATCCCATCTCTACCAAAAATACAAAAATATTAGCTGGGCATAGTGGCGCACGCCTGTAGTTCCAGCTACTTGGGAGGCTGAGGCAGGAGAATCACTTGAACCCGGGAGGCAGAGGTTGCAGTGAGTCGAGATTACACTGCTGCACTCCAGCCTGGGCGATGGTGCGAAACTCTGTTTCAAAAAAGAAAGAAAGAAAGAAAATCGGCCAAGGGTTTTTGTTTTGTTTTGTTTTTTGTTTTCTTTTTTTGAGGGTCTTGCTCTGTCACCCAGCCTGGAGTCCAGTGGTGCAATCATGGCTCACCACAGCTTCAACCTCTAAGATTCAAGCAATCATCCCACCTCAGCCTCCGGAGTAGCTAGGACCACAGGCACACACCACCATGCCCAGCTAATTTTTAACTATTTTCTAGAGACGGAGTGTTTTTTGTTGTTGTTGTTGTTGCTGTTGTTTGAGACGGAGTCTCACTGTGTCACCCAGACTGGAGTGCAGTGGTGCAGTGGCATGATCTCAGCTCACTGCAACCTCCGCCTCCCAGGTTCAAGGGATTCTCTTGCCTCAGCCTCCCGAGTAGCTGGGATTACAGGCGCCTACCACCATACCTGGCTACTCTTTTATATTTTTAGTAGAGACTGGGTTTTACCATATTAGCCAGGATGGTCTCAATCTCCTGACCTCATGATCTGCCTGCCTCGGCCTCCCAAAGTGTTGGGATTACAGGTGTGATCCACTGCACCCGGCTGAGACAGAGTCTTGCTGTATTGCCCAGGCTGGTCTTAAACTACTGGCCTTAAGCAATCCTCCCGCCTCAGCCTGTCAAAGTGTTGGGATTACAGGCATGAGCCACCATGCCTGACTGACAATTACTAAAGGTAGGTGACCACAGGGATTCTATATTCTATTTTTGCATATGCTTAAAATGTTTTTAAAATGCTTTTAATCTAATAGATAATATATTGATGACATTGCACATAACACGTAACTTTAGAGAGAGATTTGACAATATTTATTTTCATAACCCTTGAATTTGCAATCCCTGTTCTGGAAATTTATACTTTAAAAATAGCTGAAATATGGTGAAACAGGGAATGGGAAAGAAAGAAAGCCAAAGATACTCATTGAAGGACAAACAAGGAACTCACTGAGTAATTAAGACGTATGAATGTGGCCGGGCGCGGTGGCTCACGCTTGTAATTCTGGCACTTTGGGAGGCCGAGGTGGGCGGATCACGAGGTCAGGAGATCGAGACCATCCTGGCTAACACGGTGAAACCCCATCTCTACTAAAACTACAAAAAAAAATTAGCCGGGCGTGGTGGTGGGCACCTGTAGTCCCAGCTACTGGGGAGGCTGAGGCAGGAGAATGGCGTGAACCCGGGAGGCGGAGCTTGCAGTGAGCCGAGATTGCTCCACAGGACTCCAGCCTGGGCGACAGAGCAAGACTCTGCCTCAAAAAAAAAAAAAAAAAGACATACGAATGTAATGGAATATTATGCAACCATGAAAATTATGCATGTGAGCATCATGTAGCAAAGTGGGAATTGAGCAATATAATAATATATTCCAGAAGTAGGATCACAGCTCCATATAAACTCAGGAGGTATCTGGAAGTTATTACAGCTGTGGAAAAGATGCCAATCTGGCCCCAGCGACTCTCTGACTTGTCTTCCACTACCCCTTCCTCTCCATGTCTTCCATCCTGCTTCAGCACCCCTGACTTCCTGACTCTCTCTCAAACACTCTAGGCTCAGTACTAGCTGGGGCCTTTGCATGTATAGTCCCTTTGCCTGGAAAGCTATTTCCACAAATACCTAAGTGGCTGGCTTTAGTCATTCATTCAACACAGCTGATTTTATTCAGATTGCTGTTCAAACGCCTCCAAATCGAAGACTTCTTTCCTCCACCCCCATCTAAATAGCACCCCATCCCATCATTCTTTGTCTCTTTAGCCTGCATTATTTTTCTTCATATCATTTATCACCACCTGAAGTTGTATCTGCATTTGGTCCTTTTCATGGCTGTATTTCTAACACTTAGCGCAGGGATTACCTGCTGACTGATAGAACATAAATGCATGCACATGAAAAAAAAGACTGAGAAGAATCTTAAAGAAATGATCGTTTGTGTTATAATGAAAGGAAGTTCGGTATTTTCCCTAAACCTTTCTGTAGTGTTATGTTGCTTTTAACAATTTAAAAGTAAAATTATGAATCATTTAAAGCATTTAAGTAACATAATAAATGATTAGCACAGAGACTCATAGTTTGAGTCTTTAGTCTCAAAAGTCTTAAAGTCTTTAGTTTAACCCATAAGATCACTTTAGAAGAAAACTCTAAAAAATAAAGAAATACAGAGGCTGGGAAGGGTGTGTGTGTTGTTGGTGGGGGAGGTGTGGGTGGTTAATGGGTATAGAAAAAATAGAATATATAAGATCTACTGTTTGATAGCACAACAGGGTGACTATATTTATCCTTTGTGTTACAAGCAGCCTGTTATGCTCTTTTAGTTATTTTTAAATGTGCAATTAAATTACTGTACATTTAAAAATAACTAAAAGAGGCCTGGCATGGTGGCTTACACCTGTAATCCCAGCACTTTGGGAGGCCAAGGCAGGAGGGTCACCAGAGGGCAGGAATTCGAGATCAGCCCAGCCAAGGCAGTGAAACCCCATCTCTACTAAAAATACAAAAATTAACTGGGCATGGTGGTGTGCACCTGTAATCCCAGCTACTTGGGAGGCTGAGGCAGGAGAATCGCTTGAACCTGGGAGGCAGAGGTTACTATGAGCTGAGATCATGCCATTGCACTCCTGCCTGGGTGACAAGAGCAAAACTCTGTCTCCAAATAAATATATAAATAAAACTAAAAGTATAATGGGATTTTGTAACACAAAGGATAAATGCTTGAGGGGATGGATACCCCATTCTCCACAGTGTGATTATTAGGCATTACATGCCTGTATGGAAACATCTCATATACCCCATAAATATATACACCTATGATGTACCCACAAAAATTAAAAATAAAAATGTTTTAAATGTGGAAGTAAAAACAAAACAAATAAAACAGCAAAACACCAGCAGCCAGCAGCTTACCAGTCTCTGAGGGGGCTGTCTTCTGTATCCAGTTGCTGGGTTGGGAATCAGTTGTTTTAAGGTCATTGTTCTCTTTTCTGCTTTCAGCTTTGGAGCCCCTGAGAAATTTGTTGACAGATGAAGTCTGGGGCTTAGTTTCTCCTTCTGAGGAAGTTTTCTTCCTTGTTTGACTCATGGTGAAGTTGACTGGGGTATTTCCCAATAAGACATCCTCCTGTTATTTTCTGTTTTCTAGGATTTCTAAGAAGAAAATAAGATTCTTTCAAGCCTGTGTTCAATCAAAATATCCTCCCCTACGTGAGTGCCCCCCACCCCCAGCCCCGCCACCTTTCTTTTTCTGTTTTTTTATTGCTGTTAATGTTTAACGTAACAGTAAGAATGATGTAACCCAGGATCCGGGAACCAATACGAACCCAAAGCAATTTGAGTTTTTAACTTTGCCCTATTTCATTGTGTGAGATATAAGTCATCAAGCACGACTTCGGCAAGTACATCTCGTGTGTCAACACATCTTAAATTACAGCTGTCAGTTAGTTATCTGAAGACTTAGCATGCCTTTAAAAGGGACTGGCCATTTGCAAAGCTGTCCTCAGAGGAGTTTGCCTTCAGGAACCTCTGCCTTCCGGTGACCCCCACCTCTTTCCTTTGCACGCAGGCTCCTTTTTCTCTTTGCATTTTCATATTTTCTCTACCCCCAACCCTGCACCACCACCCCACTGAAACATGTTGGCAGTAAAGAATTCATTCATTCCATAAATAGTTTTAAAGAATCTACTGTAGGCCAGTTAATGTTCTAAATGCAAAAGGTTCAATGATGAACAAGAGACAGTTCTTGTCTTTGATGGCATCTTAACCTGGTGGGAAGATAGACCTGTATGCCATTGACTGAGTGGGACAAGAGCTAAGAGATGGGAGGTGGTCAGGGAACCCACAGGTAAACTAAGCATGCCTTGGAGAACAGACTTGGAACAGTGAGTGACATTGCCTGGGTTTTGAAGGACTGGGAGTTAGCTTTTTAAGAGAGGGAAGAGCATCCCAGGCAGAAGACAGAGCAAGTTCAAAAGCTCCCAGGCAGGAAGGGCTGGAAGAGCCTAGCATTGGAGGTGGGGATGTCGGTTAGGGGATGTGGAGGTTAGGGGTGAGGTCTGGTATGATCTGAAGCTAAAAAGGATTCGTAAAGGTCAATCTGTTATCTCTCCCGAAATTTGCTTATATTTTATGGGAGGGCTAAGGACTTAAACTAAAGGGATACACAGAGGTGTTTTGTTTTGTTTTGACACAGAGATGGATTTTCACCACGTTAGCCAGGCTGGTCTTGAATTTCTGGCCTCAGGTGATCCGTCCACCTCAACCTCCCAAAGTGCTGGGCTTAAAGGTATGAACCATCATGCCTAGCAGAGGTATTCTTGAAATTACAGTTTTCATGGTTTCCTCTCTAATAAAATAGCTCTTCCTGCAACATTATGTTCCAGAATGGTCCAAGAAACATTTTACCCAGGGAATCCTAAAAATGGACCTTGCAGAGCCCGCCTCCACTCCTGAGGGATGGAATGTTCCATGCACTTGGAGCACTGCTTTGGAAATCACAACTGGACATTCCATTTTTCTTTTAAAATTTTCCTTTCATATTAGAGCAGGGCCCAGCCCTGGTTTACTCAGCAACAGACAGCAATGGAACTAGACAATTATCCCATGCACAGCAGCACAGCTGACTAGAGTCTCGGGAGGTTAGGTGGAAAAGAAGAAGGAAAGGAGTGCTAACTGATAAATCTAAACATTACCTGCAGCCCTGGCTGCCCCACCCTGATTCCACCATCACCCCAGGCCTTTCTCAGTTTGCTGCTCTTCTGGCCCCTACCCAAGACTTACCTCCATGGTCATTTTCAGACAATTTCACCATTTAGAGATTTAGACAAGACTATTCTCTGGGGAGCTAGCTCAGTAATGGTTTCACTTTTTTATCCTCCCCCCAAATGCACTGACTCCAACTCCCCAAGTCCTAAGAAAACAGTGCTGGAGGGCGCGCCAGGATGTGGTAATTTACCCAGGTGAAACCCCACCCAGCTTCTGAGGCCCAGTCAGTTCTCTGTGAAGGTCAGTACACTAAGGAACAGGGGAGCCAGGAAGCCAAGAAACACAGGAACCAAGGAACAGAAGAGGATGCAAAGGAGAGGAGAGGAACAAGAGAGCAGAAAGTAACCAGGAGGCTAACAAGGCAACAAGAAAGGACCATGCCAGAGGAAGGAAGACTTCTGAATGAAAAGGGGAAAGCATTTGCACATTTCTTCATATATAGTAGTTAAGTACTAGGTTACATGCTCATATTTAAAACAATAATAATTTTTTCTTCGAAATATGTCTGGGACATTCCTCTTCATATAAAAACTTAAGTAAGCCCTCAGGCTTCACATACCAAGTCAATCTTTAAAATCTTAGCTTCAATAAACCTTCCGCTTCCTCCTTATCCCTGCCCTGGACTTTATAAAGGTAATCCCTGGAAAAGGAATTTGGGAAAATTTGCAGATCACAGCACAACCACCACAATACAGCAGCTAAAAACTGGGGGCTTGTCCCCTCTCCCAGGGTCAAAAGCATTCACTTAAGAGCCCTTAGGAAAAAGAAATGACTGAAATTTCAATTCAACTCATCAATATTAATTGAGCAGATACTTTCCATATTTACTATATTCTTAATAGTTAAGGTTGTTTGCCATGAAGCCCCAAGAGTAACACATATTGGACATGTCATTTCTCTTGTATGTAAGCTGTTTTTATTTATTACTTTTGACAAAGTAAGGAATACCTTTCCTTTCTTTTCAATCCTTAGGTTTGGGTTTTATATAATTTAAAATTTTTGAGAAATGCTTTTAAAGGTCTTTTTTAATTCTTTTCTTTTCTTTTTTTTTTTTTTTTAGACAGAGTCTCACTATCGCCCAGGCTGAAGTTCAATGCCGCAATCTCGGCTCACTGCAACCTCTGCCTCCTGGGTTCAAATGATTCTCCTGCCTCATCCTCCCAAATAGCTGGGATTACAGGCATCCGCCACCACACCCGGCTAATTTTTGCATGTTAGGTAGAGATGGGATTTCACCATGTTGGCCAGGCTGGTCTCAAACTCCTGACCTCAGGTGGTCCGCCCACCTCGGCCTCCCAAAGTGCTGAAATTACAGGTGTGAGCCACCGCACCCAGCCAGTCTTTCATTTTTTGATGTAATGTTTCAGAGTGAATCATATTTTCAATGTTGTTTGTCAAAGGGAGATGCATTTTTCTTTCTCCACAGACTTACTTCATTAAAAAGGAAAGGAAATTCTGTTACCTGTTATAACATGAATGAACCTTGAGGACATTATGCCAAGTGAAATAAGCCAGTCACAATAAGATAAATACTGTATGATACCTCTTCTATGTGGTATCTAAAGTAGTCAAATTCATGGAAACAGTAACAGTTGTGGTTGCCAGGGGCTGGGGGAAGGGGAAGTAGGGAGTCATCTGATGGGTATAGAGTTCCAGTTTTGCAAGATGAAAAAGTTCGTCTTTGTGAATCTATTGTACAACAAAGTGAATATATTTAACACTACTGAACTGTATACTTAAAAATGGTTAAGATGATTAATTTTGTGTTCTGTAGTTTTTACCACAATTAAAACATTTTTAAGTGTATTTTTAAAAAGTGATTCAGGCTGGGCACGGTGTCTCATGCCTGTAATTCCAGCACTTTGGGAGGCCGAGGCGGGCAGATATCCTGAGCTCAGGAGTTCAAGACCACCCTGGGCAACATGATGAAACCCATCTCTACTAAAACACAAAAAATTAGCCAGGCGTGGCGGTGTGCACCTGTAGTCCCAACTACTCGTGAGACTGAGGCACGAGAATTGCTTGAGCCCGGGAGACAGAGGTGCAGTGAGCCGAAATGGCACCACTGCACTCCAACTTGGGCTACAAAGTGAGACTCCGTCTCAAAAAAAAAAAAAAAAGAAAGAAAAAAAAGTGATTTAGAGGCCTAGAACTCTAAATGTAAAGTTTTAAGAACACATTAATCAATTTCTACTTTTATTTTCCTTCTTATGTATCCACAAATGTGACATGATTTTAGAAAATCCATGCCTAACTACTAGATAGATTTTTAATAAGCATAAAATAAACATCCTAGGTAATCAGAAAAAAAGAAAAAAACTTCACTCAGTTCTAAGGCATTCCGGTGGCATGCAGTATCTTGAGTTCTACGTCTCATAAGCTTAGTTCAGCCTCATTCATAACTCTTGTCTTAAAAAGGCATTATTGTAGATATCTTTGTAGTACTTTAGTTAACTCTACTATTTTTAGTTAATTTAAGCAGAAAGGGAATTTATTAAAAGAATGATGTAGAAGTTCTACTAAAACAATGGCAGAGGTAAATATGTGTTTACCTCCACTTCTCTTTTTTTTTTTTTTTTTGAGACAGAGTCTCGCTGTGTCGCCCAGGCTGGAGTGCAGTGGCACGATCTCGGCTCACTGCAAGCTCCGCCTCCCGGGTTCACGCCATTCTCCCGCCTCAGCCTCTGAGTAGCTGGGACCACAGGCTTCTGCCACCACGCCCGGCTAGTTTTTTGTATTTTTAGTAGAGACGGGGTTTCACCATGTTAGCCAGGATGGTCTCGATCTCCTGACCTCGTGATCCACCCGCCTCGGCCTCCCAAACTGCTGGGATTACAGGCTTGAGCCACCGTACCTGGCTACCTCCACTTCTCTTGAAACCCCATTTAATCAACAGGAGATTTTTTTTAAAAAATCATAAATCTGCAAGGATAAGGAGAACTGGATAGATGTCACACAACTTTGAAAACTAGAGATCAAGAGGATGAGTTTAAATGACTTTAAAGGTAAGTGCCTGCATGGATTGGGAGAACAAATTTTTTAAACGTCAGAATCCCAAAAGTCTCAGTAATTGACAGCACAAGGTAACTCTGAAGGAAAGAGAGGGGTGAGTAGGGCTGCACACAGGATGATTCGTGAAACATCTGTAAGAGGTTAAATTGTTAAATGCTATTTCTCACTTCGGGCAGCCAGGAGGCTACCCCTTCCCCATCTGGCAAAAGAATGTCTATTTTCACGACACATAGAAACATAGAAGATCTAGACTCAGACACTGGTCATATTTTAGTACCTTATCTGAAAGGAGCTTAAGTAAAGTCTGTAACTGAGCCATGAAACCCTTCCCTATTCCCTCTTCTATTCCTCCAAGAACACCCTGGCAACCAAGTGTAACTACCCACTTCGCCACATAACAGAGGTAGAGTGGATGACAACTATCTGAAGAAACTGGCCAGTCTAAGAGAAAAGACCTAGATAATGAATAAGTCCTTCAGCTAAATGAATCTGTCCCTGCCCAAGCACATTACAAAGAAATCCACTAATTGACAGGCCCTACTTATGTACAGACATTCCAGTATAATGCATAATCTACATATGCATGGAGCACCCAGGATCTCAGGATATTTGAGGAAAAATTCTGACATAAAAACGAGGTGCAGAAACAGTAAGAAGAACAAAACTCAGAAAATAAAGACAATGTGGGGAGAAGAAGGGACTTTTACAAATCACTATTATACTTAGAGTGTTATGAGATGACGTATGGTTCACAAGTCAAGAGAACATTCAGAGAACAGAAGAACTTCCAGATAGCAGTTTCTAGGCAAAATGAAAATGTTGATGGTGAAGTGGGTTTTTGTTGTTGTTGTATTTATTTATTTGTTTATTTATTGAGATGGAGTCTAGCTCTGTTGCCTAGGCTGGAGTACAGTGGCACGATCCCGGCTCACTGCAACCTCTGCCTCCTGGGTTCAAGTGATTCTCCTGCCTTAGCCTCACAAGTAGCTGGGATTACAGGCATCCGCCACCACACACGGCTAATTTTTGTTTTTAGTAGAGACGGGGTTTCACCATGTTGGCCAGGCTGGTCTTGAACTCCTGACCTCAAGTGATCCACCCACCTTGGCCTCCCAAAGTGCTGGGATTACAGGCATGAGCCACCATGCCTGGTTGTTGGTGTGGTTTGGAATCTACCCAATCCTCTAACAATAACCCCTCTGAGGCCCATAAAAGCCCTGGGCTCAGCCAGAGTTGAGTAGATGAGGGAACAACCAGCTGCAGAGAGGAACCACCTTCTCTGCTGAGAACTTCAGAGATCTGCAGAGACCACCAAATGACCTGCCTGCAGAGAGGAACTACTCTCTCCAGGGCCTCCTCTCTTCTGAGTGCTGAACACTGAGGGCATGACCTGCCTGCCTACAGAGGGGAGCTACCCACTGTGGGTCTCCTCTGAGCTGTTCTAACACTAAATAAAGCTCCTCTTTATCTTCTTCACCCTTCAATTTGTCTGTGTACCTCATTCTTCCTGAACTCAGGCAAAGGTGCTACCAGCCACAGAACTCAGGCAAAGGTGCTACCAGCCACAGAGTTTCCAGGAAGAAAATAGACACTCCAAAGATCCAGTAATAATATTATTCAGGCATAAAAAAGTAATGAAGTATTGATACATGACTAAATATGAATAAACCTTGAAAATATGCTAAGCGAAAGAAGCCAGACACGAAAGGCCACATATGTTATTTCATTTATATTAAATAGCCAGAATAAAACAAAGTAGATTAATAGTTGTACATTGGGGTGAGGAGATAGTGATACAATAACTAAAGGATATGGGGTTTCATTTCCACATTTCTACAGAAATGTGGAATTGTCCTAAAATTGATTGCGGTGATGGCTGCACAACTCTGAATATATTTAAAGTCATTGAATTGTACACATTGAATGAGTGAACTTACACATTTTTGGTATATTTTGTGGTTAAGCTGTGAACAACTTTTACATAGCCATAATAATATAAGCACTGTATGTTAAAACTCAGGAATAACCACACTGGAATGCTGAGGGAGGGGGAAATTTGCAAACATGTAGCAGAAATAAATCCTCATT